TGACAGAGCACCTGACTCCTGAGCTTCCACCTGCAGGCACTTGATGATCAAAATCTTCAAGACGAATTTATCTTTCCACATCCAGCTTCAATTTTGACCCCAGAGACATCGTACTGGGAGTGCACTTCTAAGTTTGCTGATACCTAAGAGAGTTACACTTAACCTTATTCTGAGCCAATACATATTCAAACTGCAATTGCCATGTAATCGTTTACATCTCCCCAAATCTGGCCAGTCTGTTCCAGACTGTTCATTCTGCACTCGCCTGGAGAGAATGTCTGCAACCTTTCCTTGCATAGAAAACATCCCACTGCCACACTGGAGCCTTTGAAAGAATTTATGTGGGTAGAGACGTGCAAGAAACGTGCCAGAAGCAACAAGAGTAGTACAAAAGACAGAATTATTCCCTGGCTCAGAAATACTGTGATGCAAACCTTGGTGTTGGCAGCTATTTCCACTGCTCTTTCAGTGGCTACAGCATCACTGGGATAAAACACAGTGGAGTTGGGAATAGACCGGAACATGCACAGGTCCTCCAGTCCCATCTGAGATGGCCCATCCTCACCTGAAAGAATTAAACCAGGGTTACAAAAGGGCAAGGGCACATTTCTGGCAATCACTCAACACAGCAGTGAGGGTCAACGTAAACCAGGCAAAAAAGAGAAAAGTATAAAATCAGGCACACACACGACATGCAAGTCTACCTGCTTGAGAAAAGAATCATCTTCTCCTTAAACTTGGAACCATCTAAACAGTAAATAAGGATAGAAAGAGACTAAAAAGAAAGAGAGCTGGGATTAAAAAGAAAAATAGGAAATAAAGTGTAACAATAAAACAACACAAAAGGAATACAACAAATTGGAAGGGTACAGATACAGAAAGAGGGTCACGAGATATCTGAGCATCCTCAGATTTACATGTACTGAGGCTACACAAGCAAAATTGATACTTGTCAGTAAGTGTTCCTCCAGATTTAAACTGCTGGAAATGTGAAAGGAGAATGGCATGTGTTCCATCAGAAATGGAGAGTGCAATTGGTGCAACTACTCTCAAATCCTTGGGCTCATTTCAAGATTAAATGAAGGGTATGTATGCATTTTTCAATACCATAAAAAGGTGTTTTAAGGAGCAGCAGGGCATCCGTGTTGTTAATTTAACAACTCAAGCGCCTCGTGGCATAACCTGCAGATCCATGGAAAGGAATCCCTGGCCAGGACACGTGCTGGATGCCATGGATTTCCATGGTTAAAGAAACAACCACCACAACACCCCCCACCCCCCGTGACCTTATGTAACGGAGCTTTGGGAATGGCACTGCTCCAAACCAGCCATGCAAAGAGCTCTGAATCCAGTCATGTCCCAGCCTGCAGCAGCAGGGCCATGAGCCTTCCCACATGCACCCGCTACCTGTTCGTCAAGAAGGACGAGTTCACGAGGAAGGAGGAGACTATTTTCATAAGGGCAGCACAAAACTCTGAAGAACTTTAAATATGTTAAAGAAATCAAGCATTGAACTCTGCCACTGTACATGCCTAGTAAAGTAACCACCAACCAGGAAGAGAGAGCTTCTCTGCTTTCAGTCATGACACGAGAGAAACCTCTCAACATCAGCTTCTAAATCTGTGTGCACTCTTGAGTGAATGAGTGGGATCTCAGTGGGCATTTTCCTTTCCTAAAATGCACCCACACAATGCAGACATAGAAGAAAAGTGAAATTATGGAGAATAAAATTATCAGGTACCTGAATTCGAATATTATTCAAGGTATCATGCTTTTCCTGCTTTTGCTACAGTGGTGCCAATACCACCAGCACTCATAACTCACACCAGAAATTTACAGAGTAGTACTAAGTTGTTTGGCCCCAAGTCTTTAAGAAAATCCCAATTTACATGGTTTTAGAGTACCATAGATCAAAAGAGAGAATAACTCTCAAAACCTCCATTTATAGCATAATAAAAAAAGTGAGTACTTAATATAAACAGTATCAAATGTCCAAGATATAAAACTGTCTAAACAACTGATATTTCTATTTTTGACAGATGTACACTGATTTCTTTCCTTGCATATTCAGTTTGGAAAATACGGATTTTTCCATTACTCTCTTACGACCTTAAAACTTATTTAATGTTTCGGTCCATCAGCCACTATTGGTCTAGGAGTGAACTTAGTACAAGTTCAGAAGGTCATTTCTCATAAATTTAATGGGTCCAAATTTCAGTGCAGCAGAAGCCCAGGTCTACCTAGAACTGCATACATAAAACTTCAATTTTCACCACAGATCCACATCGGATTCTGAATTCCATGCAGATTTTGAATTCCATGCAGGCCCAAAGTTCTAATAGGACATACACTTAATTCATACCCTTCCATTTAAAATTGAATTTTTTAACTGCTCAACGGTTTCTCTGTGTAATTTTCTTTATAACTCTTTATGTAAGTTGCAAAACTTATATAAACTTTATACAACTCTTTATATAAGTTGCAAAACTTTGGGTTGAAATTCTTTTTTGAAAGTCAAAGTTGGGGCCTGAATGAGATTTGTAATTCCAATGACTTTATAAATCCAAGTATGCACTTGGCAATCACAGCTCCCAGCAGAACATTCCAAGTGCTGAAAATTGAAACCTGGGAGTGTAGTTCTAGGAGACAATTTGGGTAGCTCAAACGAGTTTTATCTTCTTAAATGAGCAAAGACCAAAACTAATTGGCTTTTGCACCAACACACTTTGCTGCTTGCTAAAAGTCTTAAACTGGATTGAACTAGACTATGATGAGGTGGGAGGACTGATTTTAACAAGAAAAGAGACTTGTAAAAGAATCCCTCCCTTAATGACATGCAAAAGCCATAATCTGATACACTCTACATACAGTCTCCACTACTACAGCATATTCTACACAGCAGAAAATTTATATCAAGTATATATATGTAGCAAGTTTGAGGCTCTGGATGACAGTACACATGTTTACAAAGTATCTTTAAATCTTTACCAATATTACAGGTCAAATTAACTATTTTGTTTTAAACATAAAACCCCCAAGTCTTCTCCAAACCATACTGGCAGCCGAAACTACTAAATCAACTGCAAAACTGATGTATGCAGAGAGCCTTCATTTACTACCCTGTCAGCTCTCCCTCCCTTTCTTTTTCCCTATGAATACCCACTACTTTTTCAAGCATGAATGTCTACTTGCATTTTCCTTCTTGGTATGCAAGTCTGTTCTTGTTTTCATGGGTGATGTCTACGCATTTCAGTTAAAAAAAAAACCAAACTCCCTTCCTTCCTCAAACCAAAGTCAAACCCCAAGATGATCTGACATGTTCCAAAGAGCTAGGATGGGAAGCCAAGACCAGGGCAGGTTCTGCTGGCAAGGGCCCTCAGCCTGTTGCTCTCAGGCTGCACTGCTTTGGTTTCCACTGGCAATCCCTCTTCCCACACCTCTTGAGTGGATGGATTGCAGGACAGGGACTGGGGGAGCAAAGTCCCTCCATTGTAACACATGTCCTAGGGTCAGCTGGGATAGAGTTAATTTTTTTCAGCTGGTACAGTGCCATGGTTTGGATTTAGGATAAGAATACTGTTGATAACACACTGATGTTTTGGTTGTTGCTGGGTGCTGTCTACCTTAAGTCAAGGGCTTTTCAATGTCCTCATGTCTGCCAGTGAGGAGGTGGACAAGAAGTTGGGAGGGAGCACAGCCTGGACAGCTAACTGGAAGTGGCTGATCACAGCTCAGGGGCAGGCTGGACATCAGTCAGTGGGTGGTGAGCAATTGTAGTGTGCTTATTTTTCCTGGGGGTTATTTTTTTATTTACAATTATTATTAGTAGTAATAGTATATTTTACTTTGTTTCAATTACTAAACTGCTCTTATCTCAACACATGAGTTTTTTTCTGTTCTCCTCCCCATCCCACTGCAGGGGCAGTTTTGTTACCACCTGAGTAACCTCTACATATGTAAATCTATGGGAGCTGATGAGATCCATCCCAGAGTCCCAAGGGAACTGGCTGATGTAGTTGCCAAGACACTCTCCATGATATTTGAAAAGTCATGGCAGTCAGGCGAAGTCCCTGGTGACTGGAGGAACAGAAACACTGCACCCAGTCTTAAAATGGGGAAAAGAGAGGACCCTGGGAACTACCAGCTACCACCCTGTGCCTGGGGATCCTGGAACAGATCCTCCTAGAAGCTGTGCTAAGGCACATGGAGCACAGGAGGTGATTCAGGACAACCAATGGCTTCACCAAGGGCAAATCCTGCCTGATTTTGAGCAACCTGGTCTAGGGGAAGGTGTCCCTGCCCATGGCAGAGTGGTTGGAACAAGGTGACATTCCCAAACCTTTCTATGATTCAATTACCTGAATTACATAACAGCTTCACAGTTCCTGTTTCATCACACTTGGAGATTTTGGGGGTTTTTTTAATCAATGCATGAACAGTTCTAGTAGTAAAAAATACTGAGGTAAGTTGAAGCAGTTATTTCAAACTGGTGATCTTTGAAGGGTTTCTGAGATTGATGGACAAGAACATCTGGGCAAGAATAGTATCTTTAGTTTCTCACTTTAGAGACTGGGAAACAAAATAGAAGCACATGACTGCAAAGATGAACAGGAATCTAAACTCCTCAGATTCCATCAAATCCCTTTATATCAGTCTTTACTGGCACAGTACAAAAGCTTGTAGGAAAAAGTCCTATTTTCATTGGGCCAAAGAGAAAAAAAAGCAGGTGAGGGCTTGAAATCTTCCTCATTCTTTCTAAATACAACACTGTGTCTCACAAAAGCAAATTTGCAAATACGACTTCCTCCCACCAGTGTCACACTGCTACAGCACCCCAGCTACAGCACTGCTTGTCACCACAGAGCATGATCATCCCTAACTGGATGGGAGCTGCTGGCCCCCAGGTGCCCTCACCGATGGAGACGCCGCAGTGGGAGCCGCAGAGGTTGATGTTGCTCTCGGAGATGGCGGCCATGCGGATCTGGTCAAACGCCCGCGTGAAGAAGGTGGCGAAGGTGCTGGCAAAGGCAATGGTTCTGTCCCGAGTGGCACAACCGACTGCAACGCTCACCTGGAGCAGGGAGATGGTACAAGAACAGTGAGTTCCTCATTTATCAGTTGTTTCTGAGACGTCGTCTGTCCGTGGGACTTCTTGCCCTAAAAATTTAGCAGATTAAAAATCTCTGCCCAGTCCTGCTCCTGATTGTTGGCTTTTCCAACATGGAGAGGAAGCAACTTGCTCTTCCACTATCTATCCTCCTGCATCTCCTCTGCTCCTTGCTTCAACTGCTAGCTGTTGTTGATTCTTACTGGCAGCTTCTTTTCTTTATCTGCTCCAAACAGCCTTTCACTGAACTTTAAGAATTATCCCCCTTTCTTTTACTGGATCAAAAGCTTACACTTTCAGCCCAAAGGACACAGTTTTGCTATCTCCAGAAGGCAAAAATTATCATTACCGAGAGGGAATGGATTTACCTGTGTTATTTAGACTGATATTTACTAAAAGGGCTCTCCTTTAGCAAAATGGAAACTAGAACAAGATTCCTAAATTGTTTATTGCTACAATTACCCCATATACTTATTTGAAAAGCAAGTATTAGAACCCCACTCTATGGAGACTCACTGCATGGCAACACCAGTCTTTGGTAAAGGCAGGAGGGTAGTTACCATGTTCTGCTCAGCAATGTAGCACTCGATGTAGCGACTGGGGTGTTCCTTCTTGAAGAGCTCTGAGAAGGTGGAGTTCTTTGTGTCCCCATCCAAAGCAATCACTCGATCGTTGGCATGGCCCAGTTTTGCCAGTGCAACCCCGTAAGCTTTGCGTGTAGCCCACTGGGAAAGGAAAACACAGCAGGGCTGTTGGAACTTTCTGTTTCTACAGGTATTTTTTTCCTTCCCACTTTGTTTTGCCGTTAAGTCTATGAACATACAGTCAAAACCAAAACACAGCCAAAGGCATTTTAAATGACAGTAGTATCAAAAGTACATATGAGAACGGTGACTCGCAGAAGAGTAAATAAAAAAAAGGAAAAAGAAAACCACAATGCAGCATTAGGACACATTGTGTGCTAATGTATTGGAATTGGCAACTCCCTACCAATCCAGCTAGGAAATTCTTAAAACCTTGCTTTCTAATCATGGAAATTCACTGAACTTCGTAGAGTTTCTTTAATTTTAAATGCACATAAAGTAGTTCAGATAATTGATAATAGTCACAAAATGAAGAAGAGTGATTTGAGTCTTCCTATTTTAATATACCCTTTCAATAGCCAGCAAGTTGATTGTCTCACATCACAGAGGCAGGTGTTTGCCTGCTCAGGTGGGTAATTGAAATTGTGGGAAAGGATAACATGAAACCTCCTGCCATACATTTACACAGTCTCACACTTTGAAATATCTGACAAACAGTGAAAACAAAGGGAATACCTTTTCTCCCACTTTGTAAGTTGGTGGAGATGGCATCTTAATGTTTCTAATATTTACTATAGGTGCATCTTCTTCTGGGAGGGCTGGAGAAAGCTTTTTCTTATTTTGGATTTTATCATCTATTTCTTGAATGACTTGTTCAGCCATATTTTTTGGAAGGGGCTTTCCATGCCAGCTTTCCTTATCTTCAACACCTGTGTATTTAAAAATCACATTACAAGTAAGAAAAGTATAAAAACAATCTAGGTTTTTAGCTGCAGATTTTACCCAGGTAAGTGCAGTGGAGTATAACAGTCTAGTATTGTCTTCCAAGGAAGAAATTCCTTAAACAATTACAATAGTAATCAATTGCATTAAGACAGACATGTTTAAACATATAAGAGGAATAATTTACTCTGAACTTGTGACAAAATTCCAGTGTCTTCTACTTTTAAATTGGCACCTAACAGACTTGGTCTGTAAGTGTGGCAGGAAGCGATCAGTAAATCAGTGTGAACATTTCACATGAAATTTCAACAGTTGGGCCTGATTAAACAAACTCGGTTAAGTTTGAAACAACAGCTAACCAAGCTGTCTAATTCAAAAAGCTGACGTTTTTTACAGCTTTATTTTAATAGCTTCTGATGACTCTTATCTGTGCACCTGGCACTAACACCACATTACCTCTCTGGCCGATACACTGCTTTCCCTGAGCAAGTCACCCCGAGTAATGAATTTTGCTTGCTTACTCAAAGAAAAGGAATGAAGATATTCACTCCTGTTATTAATATTTATCTGGTCAGAAAGGCAAACTTGCAGAGTGCTGCTGAAAGCTGGAGCTGAAGAGAATCACAGCAACCCCTGACAACTGAACATGCATTTACTCCACTCCATGGACACAACGCCCCGTTAGCTGGGACACATCTCACTTGCAAGAACCATGGTAACTTTCTCAGCAATAATGGTGTTGAGAAGGGCAGAGAGTTTGAAAGACTTTCTGCCTGCTATTGCTCAGATGTGCAGGTACACACCTGTCCCCTGGACAACGATATTTATGTGAGTCTCACACCATGTAAAAATTCCAAAGGATCTTAGAGACACTGTGAAAAAACTCAAACAGCTGCTAACCTGTAAAATAATTTCTACAGGCTACTGTACCCTGTATGTCCATGAATTCCACATCAGATAAGAATTAAGCTGCAGTATGACCTGGTAGCTGATGGACCCTGTCTCATGCAGCTTTGTCAAAGCTGTAACTGCAGCACCCCCCCCCCCCCCTTGTTTTCCATGCATTGGAAAATACTGCCTGTGGGAACAGCAGACACAGCCACCTGCAACACAGGGAACAGGGACCTTCTGTGACAAAGCTACTCCCTTCTCAGAGTAGTCTCTGTGAGACTAGAGATCAAGGGCACGCCAAGAAAGTGGCCCTCATTTGCCAGGACAACTTTCAAGAGCAAGTCATATGGTACAATGTTTCCCTTGTCCCCAGCCATCTTCCAGACTAGAAAAGACTTTTTATAGAGTAACAACTCAAGAACAGTTGCCAGCAGAGGAAATCCTGCTCTGCAACAAGGGAGTTGTAACAGCCCAGTCCAAGTGCACCTGGGTAACATGAAGAACTGAGTCACATCTTTGCCAGCCTCCAATGAAGCCTCAGGCTGATTGTCCTCCTTAAGAAAAGGCAACAAAGCCTCAGGCTGATTGTCCTCCTTAAGAAAAGGCAACAAAGGAAGGAGACAATAGGGTGAAATTCTGAGTTTTCAGATTGTATGGAAGGATTATCAAGTAAAAAAGCTGACAGGATACAATGTATTTCCAATGTATGAAACGTTAAACTTCTTTATTTTTTACTAATGGCACCTTTATTGCAGTACCATGCACTTATCATACACGTGAGCCTGCACAGCAAGAGATGTTTTATTACCTGATATGCCTTTGCCTTTGTAAGTCTTTGCAATGATGGCTGTTGGCTGGTGTTTGGCCTGGCCAAAGGCTTTGCAAAGCTCCTCCACACTGTGTCCATCCACGATGATAGCATGCCAGCTAAGAACACAAACAGATCAACTGTTTCTAAAGGGTTTTAGCATGTGACACTCTCTGGGAGTCAGCAATAACAATAACGAATACTAATGCCATTCCAGTGCAGTGTCTTTTTAAGGGACCCAAAGTGTGCCAGAAACACAAACTAGCATTTATTTGATATCATAAAAAATACCACAGTTGCTTTTTTATAATGCAAAAAGAGTCACAGAGGCATCAACAGCTACAAGCAAAATTCACAGCCCACAGATAACTAAGTTATCCTACATTTCTTCAGATATAATGGCCATTTTTAATAACAAGAGCAAATCAAACATCTAAAAATAAGATAAAAACTGACAATGGAAGCTGATTAAAAAAAAAAAGCTCCATCATAATTTGCATGGCTGCTATTGTATATGACAGTTTGGGTTTTGCATCTACATAGAAATATGAAACTAAATGAAAGCCAATACACAAAGAATTCTCATCGTTTCCATGCTGTGTTTTTGCTCTACTTGCTATGACAGTACATGTGGTCACACAGTCATAAAATCTGTATTTAATATCATAAAAACAGTTTTAAGATCCTCTAACAGATGTATCTGAGTAAGCAGTCCTCTTATTTTTCCTCTAAACAACAAATTCTGCCACTTTTAATATTCCTGCCGTACCCATAAAGTCGACCAATATCAGGGATTATGAAAGACCACCTTCCTTGGTGATGGCAGCCTTTAGAGCTGCAAGCTCATTTGAACAATTCTGAGAAGCAAATAAAACGTACAGTTTGGACTGAGAGATTATCCTGAGCTCCTTCCCCTCACATACCCAAAGGCCTCGCAGCGTTTCTGGTAGATTTCCACGTGGTGCTGCAGAGGAGCGGGGTCACTTTGTCCAAGACGGTTAACGTCAAATATGGCAACCAGATTATCCAGCTTGTAAAAGCCAGCAAAGGCCATTGCCTCCCAAACAGAGCCCTCAGATAACTCTCCATCTCCAAGCAGACAATACACTCGATAGCTAGAAGAAATTAAAAAAAATTAAAATAAATTAAGTTTGATGTGTAAGCACTATTAAATTAAAAACCAAAACCCCTCTAAACAATTCAGAGTGAGAATTCACTGCTTTTTTCTATCCCAAACTCAACTCCCATTGCTCAATGCATTCACCTCAGATAACATTACATAGTAATCTTAGATAAATCAAATTAAAATATTTTTGAGCTGGTACACATTAGAAAAATAAGATGAGAAATACTGCATTGCCTTCCAAATCTTTGTCTCAAAAAAATCAAGTCTTAAGCCTCCCATTGCAAGGCTTGACTGAACAGGCCCATTGAACACTGTCACTGTGACTCAGCAGGATCTGAACAATGCAGGAATGGTTACTGGCTGCTTCCTCCTTCCTACCATGGACTCTCTGGAAGGACAACCAGCACCTGAATTTCAGGCAACTCTAAACTGTGGATGAATTCAGCTATGGTTTAAAGCATGCTGCATAACCAAATTCAGAATTCAGGAAAAAGATAACCAATGTGATATGACTTCATAGACTATTTCTCTAAACACTAAGCCTTTTATTCAGGTAAAACTCAGCAGGAGCACTGCCTCATCCCTGCAGAATTCATCCCCTGCATTTTTCTTCTATTACCACTCTCTTTTTCTGGATGAC